GGAAGGAATAGGGGGCTCAGAGCCAAGCAAGGAAGGCAGGTCACCTGAGCCTCTTTAGGATTTGTCCTGCAGGCAGCTGCCAACGTGCCTGGGGCCATCAGCTGCGCAGGGAGGCCTCTAGAGAAGACCCCCCTGGTTGCTGAGCTACCCTTGCCGCTCTGCTCCCTTCAATAAAGCTCTTCCCCCCCAGCCTGGACCCCCACCCCCTCCACCACCAAGGCAGGGCCCACGTCCAGTGAGCACCTGAGAGTCGAGACAGAGGTGTGTGTGTGTGTCCGGAGGGGGTGGGGTGGGGGCATTATCCTCTGTCTGAAAACTGGCGCCCCCCCCCCCCTCCACTGGTTCAGGTCCCTCAGCTGTTACCGTTTAGCTCTGGAATGACAGGCGCCCGGACTCCGTGTGTCCAGCCACATTCAAGACCGCTGAGTTTAGCACCCTGGGCCCTCTGCCCCCAGTCGCTAATTTTATTGACCTGTCAAAGGCACGCTGCTGGCAAGGAGGATAATTGAGGATGAAGTGGACAGATGGGACCTGGGAGACGGAGACCGGGCAGAAAGGGGGAGAAGGGCCATTCCTGGGGCCAGGGTCAGGGGACACTGGGAGATAAAAGGAAGGAGCCTAGGAAAAAGTACACATCTCTCAGGGGCAGGGGCTAAGAAGACTGGTACTGGAATTATATTCCTCAGAGGAGGCACCTGGGTGGAGCGGGGGTGGGGCTCGGTGAAGATGCATGGTTTCCCCGTCCGTCCACCTCGGGGCAAAGCCAAGGATGCAGCAGGGGAGGTCAGCCGGCAGGAAGGACCGCCAGCCTGCTCTCCAATCTCTGCCCTCGTCCCCCTCCCTCCCCCTTGAAGGTGACCCCTGCCTGCTGGGCCTCTCAGGCCACAGAAATAGTCCGTTCCCCGAAGAATCAACCAGATCTCGCGTCTGCCTTCCGTTCCTCGTGAAAATGAGGGCAGAAAATCTAGGCCCTTGCTACTCCCCCGCCCCCACAGGCTTACCTGAGCTCCCAAACCCACCCCTCACACCCTGGCCCCCAGCCCAAGGGAGTGGACCTAGGGATCAGAGCGCGGTACTGGGCTCTGTTATGAGGTGGTGGGGGCAGGAGGGTCTCACATTCACGATGACCTCAATTTAGATTTTTGACGTTCTCTCCAAGAGCGGTGTTACCACTTTAATATTGAAAATCAACCCCAAAGCAGATGAGTGTATGGGGCGGGGCGGGAGGGAGGGGCAGGGCACAAGGAGACGGTCCTGGGGGGGGATGGTGCGCGCACACCCTCTCCCTCCCATCCATATAAACTGCACGCTTGAAAGGCTCCTCTTTTTGATGTTGACTCTCTCCACAGCGTGTAACCTATCCCGTGCCCCCTCCCCGTAAGAGTTTGAGGAATGCCAATCAATGGAAGTGACATGGCAGAAAAGGGCTGACCAGGGGCCCAGAGAAACTGTGGGGTGATCCCTGCCCTCAAGGACCCACCCCAGCCAGCGCATCAGGAAGGGTCTGTGTGGCTTGCTGTGGAGCGGGGCTCAGGGAGGGTCGCTCCCCCGGCTGGCCAACTCACTCCTCAGGTTTTGTCTGTAGCTGGGCAAAGATTCAGGCAGGAGTGCCCTGGGGGCCTTTGGCCTGAGCAAAAGTGGCAACTGCTGCAACTCTGGTGCCCCCTGCAGCCCGAGGCAGGCACTGCAGCGAGCTGGTGGTCAGTCAGTTCAGAGACAGGTCGGCCAGTGCGTTGGCACAGTGCTGGGCGTAGTCGAAGTCAAGGACAGGGAAAGGCACTCTCGACCACTTCTTGGCATGAAGCCGCCCCCCTGGGGTCTCCAGCAGCATGCTTTGGACGCGGAGCACGGGAAGCTTCACGGACTTGTAGGTTATCTGCAGACCCCAGGCCTGGAGGTGGACAGCACATGCAGGGTCTGGGCTGCTGCCCACAAGCTGGGCTTCTCTCCTCAACTTGGGGCTTCAGGAAGAGGGGGAACCAGCATCTTTCGTCTGAGAGCCACCTCCCCCATCGCAGTGAACCTCCCAAGACAGGGGAAGTCCACCACTCTCTTCAGACCTGGGACTCGTGAGACGTCAGACAGACAATCCCTAACAGGTTGATGGCTCCTGGGGCAGGACTGTTCCCCCATCCCACTGGGAGCTCCCTGAGGGCCGGGCCAGGCCCCCTCCCTCTGGGGACTGAGCACTGAGGGCACTTACCTCCCCACAGTTCCTGCAGCTGATGGTACCCTCGGGCCGCCAGTCCTTGAAGGCTCTGTGGATCTCCACAGGTTCTGAGGAAGCGTTGAAGTAGATCCTGGAGGGGAATAGGGTGGCCGCCCTTGTGGACCATGTGCCCCAGAGGTTAGGCCCTCTCCCTGGCTGAGCCTCCTCCTGGGCTTTGGGCCTTCCTGCCTCCAGGAGTCAGAAACGGAAGGGCTTCCCAGAGCCAGGAAGGCCCATCTTCAATATAGCAGCTGCCTCCGTCCCCAGCCCACCCGCCAAGTGCAGGCTTCAGCAGGAAGGCCCTGCATGCGACCCACCCGAACCGAGTATCCCTGCCTCCCTCCAGACGCCCACCCCCAACCCATCCTTCTACCAACTGCTGGGGTTATCTTCGGACCAGTGAACGGGCTGCACGTCCATATCTTCCCAAAGCTATTGTCTTCCTTCTGAATCTCATCATCCACAACCCCTTCCACTCAGGTCCATGGGGGTGACGCCTGTCTTTTGGCCCCGCCCATCCTTTTCTTCCCACCACTGCCCTCTGGTGGTGCAGGAGTTAAATACGATGGGCTGCTAATGGCCAAGTTTGCAGTTCAAAACCACCAGCAGCTCCTTGGGAGAAAGATGGGGCTTTCTACTCCTGTAAAGAGTCACAGTCTAGGGAACTCACAGGGGCAGGGCTGCCCTGTCCTGTAGGGAATGAGCCGGCGTTGACTCGATGGCAGGGAGTTTGGTTTTGAGGTTTTATCCAATCCCAGCCCAGCCCATCCTTCAAGATCCAGATGAAAGAAACGTCACCTCCTCCAAGGAGGACCTCGGGTCTGAGTGTCCTTCGCTCAGAGCCTGCGCACAGTAGGTCCCCAGTTGAGGTATTTAATTTGTCAACAGATGGGGCACAAAGGTTTTGTGAGGGGTGGTGGTCACCCCGTAGGGAAGGCCCTGGACAGCCAGCCCTTCTTGAAATCCCCAGAGAAGGTGGGGCCAAAGAATCTAGTGCCCCTTGTAGCCCCTCAGCATTTGGTCTCCTGCCTTCCAGCTTCCGCTCAACCACCTAGTAGCCGTGAACTTGGGCAAGTCACTTCACCTCTCTGGCTGGGTCTCACGTCCTTCACCTGTCCAGCAGGTGGGGAATACAGTGAGATCAGGGCTTGGCAGATGCTCTGCAGCCTCCCAGACCCTCCAAAGAACTGTCTTAGGGGACGAGCCTCAGTCCCTTGCCCCACCTCCTCCACCCCCCTTCCCCAGGTCTCACGAGAAATTGGGGTTCACATTGACATGGTGGGAGCCCTCCACCTTCCGCAGGTCACTCCCATGGCCCACAGCCACCAAGCAATTGATGCAGTAAAGTCGCACTTGCTCAGCCAGGAACTGCTGCCGCTGGCGTGCCTGCAGCTCTGCCCTGGCCGCCCGCTTGAACAGGGCTGACTGCTGCAGGTCCTGAATCTGGGGGAGAGGGGGCATGTCGGGCATGACTGGGGTCCGAGGGCTCCCAAAGTCCTCAGATCATTTCTACCCAGAGAGGAGTTTCCTGGCCGCCCCCCCCCCCCCCCCCCCCCCCCCC